ACTTTATTTTCAACTTCACACTTTCTTACAGTCAGAATCCACTTCTCTGCAGCCCCTTGTCATGACAGCTGGTGTTTCTACCTGCAGCATGCTCCTGGCCTTGGGTCCCTTCATGTGTGATATGTTTTATGGCAGGGGTGTATCTTGTGCTGATGAAACAAACCTAAGTAGGTAAAAGAGGCTGAGGCCGCACACGCCTGTCATCGGGAGGCTGAGGCAGGAGGATCGCGAGTGGGAGGCCAGCCTCATCAAAAGCAAGGCACTAAGCAACTCAGGGAGACCCTGTCTCTAAATAAAATCTGAAATACGGCTGGGGATGGGGCTCAGGGGTCGAGCGCCCCTGAATTCAATCCCTGGTACCCCAAATTAAAAAATAAAATTTTTAAAAAGGAGGTTAAGGCTTCTTCAAAGTGACTATGTAGTCACATCCTGGCTCACGGTTGCAGTCCGGGACCTCTCTGGGTCATCTGGTAGTGTGACCTGCATGACCACTTGCTGCTTGCTGTGTCTCTGCAACCGTGAATCTCTCTTTCTGCTCTTTTCAGGCTATAGAAGGTGTATTTTTATCTCCCTCCTTCTCTCCTGGACCTCTTCTTCCTGCAGCTTTCAAAAATCCCCCTGTTGGCTCTTTTCGGGTTCCTCTGAGCGTCTCTCTTGAACATGCTTTTCTCTCTGATTTCAGGGCCTCTATTCTCCGTATCTACAAATCTCCTGGACCTCACACCTGTGCCCCAGATCCTTATCCTGGAGTTACCTGGGAATTTCTTCACCAAGAGAGTCCCAGGCCACAGGTTTCAAGTGGCCTTAGAGACAGTCCGTGGGCACACCCTTGAAACACCTGCATAGTCTTCAGGTCACATCCCTCAGCAAGAAATTTTTTTTTCTTTCTTTTTGGGGGTACCGGGGATCGAACCCAGGGACGCTCGACCCCTGAGCCTCATCCCCAGCCCTATTTTATATTTTATTGAGAGACAGGGTCTCCCTGAGTTGCTTAGGGCCTCACTTTTGTGGAGGCCGGCCTCCACCTGGCGATCCTCCTGCCTCAGCCTCCCTCCGTGATATCACCCTATCGTGTCTCTTTCTGTCCCCTTCACCTGTTTTCTTTTTCTTCAGAGCCTTATCACTGCTTGGGAATGTATTCTAATCTTCCTTATGGGGGACCTCTCCCACCAAGTTCCAGAAGGTCGGATTTTTTTTTATATATATATATTTTTGCTGTATCATGAGGACCTGGAACAGTGCCTGGCAGGTAATAGGTGCTCAATAAAACTTTGTTGAAGGCGGCAACGCCCCAGAGTTGTGCTCAAAGTCACCTAGTAAATCATAGACCTCAGACGGCAGGTAATAGGTGCTCAATAAAACTTTGTTGAAGGCGGCAACGCCCCAGAGTTGTGCTCAAAGTCACCTAGTAAATCACAGACCTCTGACCCCCTCTCCCTCCATCGGAAATCACTTTCAACTCCCACAAAGTGTCTCAATATTCAAGAAGGGCTGCGTAGTCTCCTCCACTGGGTGACTCCATTTATATCACCGATCCCTTCAGTTTGCTCAGTTGTCCTGGTTGAAGATCCGGTTGTCTTTGACTTTTTATCCTCTTGTATCTCTCATATCTCAGTCTGTGGGTTGCCTTATTTCTGCTTTCAAAATGTCTCTTTGCTCACGGGGCCTCTGTTCCAACACTTGACCTCAGGCCTGCAAACATCATTCTGGTTGATCCTCCCGTCTTGACACCTTGGGTCCCCTACAAAGGATCCTGGTGACCTCTAAGGACCAACTTCACACACTATTTGTAGAAGGAAATGTAAGAAACGGAGGGTAATCCCTCTGGAGATGGGAGCCTGGGAGCTTGGGGGATCTGGGGTACCCTTTCAACTGTATATACCTTGAATGAGATGATTTTTATTTTTTTTAACAATTACACTATTTATCTCGCCATTTAAAAAAAAAAGTTTAAAGATTGTGTTTCATTCCCAGATTTTTTTTCAGGTCCCATTTTATTTGAGGACAGAATAAGCCTCTTCCATCACCCAGGCCAAAGCTCTATGACATGAAATCATGGTCCGGGGAGAGAGAATATTACAGTCCCAAGAAGAAGGTAGTAACCAAGTTTCCTGAGCCTAAGAAAAGGCCATGGGTTTTAACTGGGCCACTTGGGACCCCACCCCCAGAGTGATTTTAGCACAGCGGTAAGCACAGACGCAAAAAGGTCAGGAGTAGTAAGGAAATGACCACCCACCAGCCCAGGTCACACATTTTAAACTTGACGTGGAAGAGGAAAGATGAGAATAAATTGTCAGGGAAGAGAAGCAAAAGAAGAAAGACTTTTGGAATAGTTTTTCTAAGACTAATAAAAGGTTTTCATATTTGAATGCAGAAGAGAGGGAGGATTGGCTGGGCGCAGTGGCCCACGCCTGTCATCCTGGTGGTTCAGGAGGCTGAGGCAGGAGGATCGAAAGGTGGAGGCCAGCCTCAGCCACTTAGCAAGGCCCTGAGCAACTCAGCGAGACCCTGTCTCTAAATAAAATAGAAAAAGGGGCTGAGGGCCCCTGGGTTCAATCCCTGGTACTCACCCCCCCCCTAAAAAAAAAAAAAAAAACTAAACCAGAAGGTTACAAAGAAGAGGTGTAAGACTTCAGAAAACGAACGTTCATGGGTTGCTGGATTTCTAGAGAGTGCACACCACACAGGATGCTAGATGGGATATATCACGAAATCATTCTCCCTTCTTCTGAATAATAAAATATATATATATATTGGCCACAGAGGATTAAACTGCATTTCCCAAGTCACAGCCCTGCAGCTCGATGTGGCAATGTGACTTCAGTTTGGCCCAAGGATACCTGAGCAGAAATCATACCCAGGGGAAGAGCTCTTTCCCCTGGCTGGAGCAATGTGAGCCCATCCTGAAGCAGGTGGACAGGGGCAATCCTTGAAGGGAAAGGTGGAGCCAGGAACAGAGAAGGGACCTGGGTCAGTGACACCCAGGAGTCACACCTTAAGAGTTTCGCAATGCTCCTGTCCAGCCAGTTACGAAACAGAAAATTCATTTCCTGCTGGCTTCTTATGTGAATTAAGAGAGAGGAGGCCGAGCTACCTGAACCTACGCCATTAGATCACATAAGATCACTGCATATAGGATCAGAAACCACCTGGATCCTTCCTGAAATAGGAGCTGAATATTTATCCACCCAGGATTTGAGGATTTCCTTATTGCGGAGAATAAAACCATCCTGGAATCCAAACAGGGGGTGCTTCACCACAGAGTCCCATCCCCAGCCCTTTTTAAATTTTTTTTTTTTTTTTTTTTTTACTCAGAGGAAGGCTCTTGATAAATTGCTGAGGGCCTCACTAAGTGGGCTGAGGCTGGCCTCCACCTTGTGATCCTCCTGCCTCAGCCTCCGGAGCTGCTGGGATTCCCTCTAAAATGTTTTTCATCGATGTGAGAGTCATTTTTTTAAGGAGTACTAAGCTTCTGATTGGGGGTGGTGGAGAAATTCTGGAAATGGATCCTGGCGATCGATGGCTGCTTGGTGGGTCCGTTTCACGCTCCTATGACGAAACGCCTGAGATCAGGAACTTAGAGAGACAACAGGTTTATGCTGGCCTAGAGTTTGGGAGCTTCCAGGCCATGATTGGGTACCCCAGATGCTTTGGGCCTCTAGTGGACATGGAGGTCACCCTCCATCCACTCCTGGGAGAGTCCAGGCCAGACCCCCATGTGGATGGCCCAGACTGGGGGTGGGGGGGACAGCCACCACCAAGAAATGCACAGACCAAAGCAACACCAAACCGACACCGAGCAGAAGGGGGACGGATCGTGCCATCTTTGGGACACAGGACGCTAAAGACGATATCGATGGCACATCGGGCACTTCGCGCTCCTAAGTGTCATCGGGCCACGCGCACCTGGGCCATGCTCACTAAGGTCAACCAATCATTTTCTTTTTTTTTTTTTTGTCGTTTTGCAACTTTAAAAGATCAAATAAAAGATCTGTTACCTTAAAAGGCCACCCAGCTCAGGCCTGAACCGGAGTCCACCATGGCACACCCCAAAAGCGCGGGAAGACCGTGCGCAGGCGCAGAGTGCTCCGTGAGGGGCGTGTGTGGAGGCGTGCGCAGGCGCAGACTGGCCCACGGGACTGGGTTGGCGCGAGGAAATGAGCGCGGGAAGGCACTGGGCAAGCGCAGAGCAGCCCGTGCGACTGGGTGCGAGGAAATGAGCGCGGGAAGGCACTGCGCAAGCGCAGAGCAGCCTGTGGGACCGGATGGTTGAGGCGGAATCAGAGCGGGAAGGCATCTGCGCCAGCGAAGAGCAGCACGTGGGCCTGGGGGCGAAGAAGCAGCGCGGGAAGCCACTGTGGAAGCACAGAAAGGCCCACAGGACGAGGCTGGTGAGAGGAAATACTGAGGGGAGGCCTGACGCAAGCGCAGAGCAGCCCGTGGGCCTGGATGTGAGGAATCCACGCGAGAAGGCTCTGAGCAAGCGCAGAGCAGCCTGCGGGGCTGGAGGGTTGCGCGGAATCAGAGCGGGAAGGCAGTGCGCAAGCGCAGAGCAGCACGTGGGTCTGGGTGCGCAGAATCAGAGCGGAAAGGCACTGCCGAAGCACAGAGCAGCACATGGGTCTGGGTGCAAGGAATCCACAGGAGAAGGCACTGAGCAAGCGCAGAGCAGCCCACGGAACTAGATTGTTGCGCAGAATCAGAGCGGGAAGGCACTGCGCAAGCTCAGAGCAGCACGCGGGACTGTGGGTGTGAGGAATCAGCGCGGGAAGGGCACCGCGCAAGCGCAGAGCAGCCCGCCGGCCCGGATTGGTGCGAGGCATCCGCGCGGGAAGGCACTGCGCAAGCGCAGAACGTGCCGCGCCGCGGAAGCACGTGGCCTGGGGCCCCATCCACACCTGTCTTCCGAGAGTGGCGGCCAGCACCCTCCCGCCCTCCCTCCCTCCCGCTGGCCCTCACGCCGCCTTCCAGGACCGTCTATTTATATCTCTGGGCCCACGCAGGCCATTATTGGGCAGTGCGGCCCCTCACGCCGTCCCGCCCGGTGCTCGCCCGGCTCGGAGCTTCCGGCGACGTCCAGGCCAGGTCGCGGCGGTGCCACCACGGGCGGCCCCTGGCAGGGCAGCAGCTCGTAAGTAGGGGCAGAGCTTGGGAAATGCGGGCCCCGTGGACAAGCCCAGGGTGCGCTCGAGCAGGGCGGGGAGCCGGGCGCCCTTGCACTTGGCAGGGTCCCCGCTGCTGGAAGGCCACCGCCCTTGGGTCGCCCTGGGGCCAGCTCCTGGCATCAGGCCTCGGCTGGGCATGGGCTGCCTCCTGGAGGTCACGGCCGCCCGGCTGGGGAGCCGCCTCTTAATCTACGGGGGTCGTTTTGCAGCCTCCCACTTAGGGGTGGGACGTGTCCTGGGGTCTGACTTGTGTCCTCCTGTCCTGCTGTCCTCCTGTCCTGCTAGTCATTCTAGAAGCGAGCAGAGTGCCTGGCGCTGGGGAAAAAAAAAAAATAAAAAAATAAAAATGAATGGTTCGTTTAAATTCAATCAACGTGGAATGTCTCCCAGGGCAACTCTCTTCACTCTAAAGCCAGGAAAATAATTGCCCCGCATTTTCCCCGCATGATTCTTAAGGGGAACTAATGAGCGATGATGCATAGTAAAGCCCTTTTGCAAAGTAGCAAGCGCTGCGAGATTGCAAAACACTGTGAACCCATCAAAGAAAAAGGGGAAACTTGTCCTATTGGTCCCTGTGCATCGTGTGGGGGATGGATCGTGGCTATTAAGTGAATCAAGTCTTTTTTATTTTTATTTTTTTTTTAATTTTTTAACCCTCTATCTTAGTGGGAGGCTCCAAAGGACATTTTGGGTGGTGCAAGAGTCAGTTTCTACCAAGGCCTGCAAGTGTGGGATTGGGCGCAAGCTGATAAGGCAGGATATGGGGCACTTAGGGTGTCAATGAGGGGTTCCAAACAAGTGGCTATAAAATAATCAAAATGGTCCAGGGGCCAGAAATGCAGTGATCATAGGACACACTCAGGGTGGGATGCTAGGAACTGGGCAGTTGGAGAATAGACAGTCCATCTGCGAGGCAGCAGCTGGCTTTGGGGTGCTTGCATACTGTTGTCACTTGGGAATGAAGGGCTCATAGTTGGATGATCTTTTGTTTTTGTTTTTTTTTCAGTAGGTGCTGGAATGCTTCAACTTTGTGTGTTGACAACTCACTTAGACACACGTGTGTACGCATGCGCACGTGCTGGTTAGCAGCCAGTTTGTGGTCCCTAGAATAAGGAAAAGCTGTTCCCTGAAAGTGAGGTCCAAATCTCAAAGAGCAGACGATGAATTTATTTTAGAGAATTAATTTTGAGAGTAGGAGTATAATGTACCTGTCATAAGGCATCAAGCTATAGGCAAAGGAATCAAGTTAATAATTCTGGATGATTTATTTGACTTGGGCAAAAGGATAGCACCTTGGATCACTAAGCATGACTTAATTTTTATTTTTATTTTTTTGGTACCAGGGATTGAACCCAGGGGCTCTTAGCCACTGAGTCACATCTCCAGCCCACTTTTTAAATTTTTTTTATTTTTTATTTTTAGACAGGTTCTTGCTAAGTTGCTCCAGGCTTCACTAAGTGGCTGAGGCTGGCCTCCAACTTGCAATCCTCCTGCCTCAGCCTCCTGGGCTACTGGGATTATAGGTGTGTGCCACCGCGCCCAGCAAGCAGGACTTTTCTATGTAGAGAGAAATCTTCATGATAGTGGTTTGCTGACACGCACTTAGGCCTTTGCAACAGGTCATCGTAAACCTGCAACCTGATTGATGCTCAACATAGCATTAATTTGATCGAACGAAACATATTGAGTAACTCTTAATGGCTAGGTAGCATCACAGAGTCGTTAAGGATAAGAAAGTGATCAAGACATAGTCCTTTACCCTCCACAAGCTTCTCATTAAAAGGTGAGGGAGGCCGTGCACCAATAAATTATGTTTTGCAACATTTTTAAAATAAAAATACTATCATTTGGAGGCCGGTGAGGGTGGATAGGTTTTTATCCTTCCTGTGCATAATTCTAAAAGATAGCAGTGCTTCATCTGTTTATTAAAAGCACTAACACCGTAGTATATATTTAAAACAGGAAACTCCAAGTTTCTCAATTTTCCTTTCCATAGGATTTTTTTTATTAGAGCTTCATGTTATACACAGTAGTTGGGTTCATTCCAACAAACTCGTACATACATGGAATCTGATTTCAGTTTAGAATTCCCCCTTTCCCTCCTGTCCTTCCTCCCCTCTCTCATTCTTCTCCCTATATTCTTTTTTTTTTTTTGCTTATCTGTTAATTCCTTTTGCTTTTATCTTAATTTCTATTTGATTGGTTCTCTATGCATAAAGGTGAAGTTTCCTGTATCCTATTTATCACATGCACATAACATGATTTTTCTTTCTCTCTCTTTTGGTACTGGGGCACTCAACCACTGAGCCACATCCCAAACCCTTTTTTGTATTTTATTTAGAGACAGGGTCTCGCTGAGTTGCTTAGGGCCTCATCAAGCCGGGCACGATGGTGCACACCTATGATCCCAGAAGATCAGGAGGCTGAGGCAGGAGGATCACAAGTTGGAGGCCAGCCTCAGCAACTTAGTGAGACCCGAAGCCACTCAATGAGATTCTGTCTCTAAATAAAAATTTTAAAAAGGGCTGGGGTTGTGGCTCAGTGGTAGAACACTTGCCTAACATGTGAAGCCCTTGGTCTGATTCTCAGCATCACATATAAATAAATAAAAGTCCATCTACAAGTAAAAAATATTTTATAAAAAAGGAGAGTGCTGAGGAGGTGGCTTAGTGGTTAAGCATCTCTGGGTTCAATCCCTGGTCCCAAAGGGGGAAAAATAATAATTATTATTCTTCATTCACATTCCACTCTCGCTATATGAATTCTTAAAACACAGCTTTTTTTGACTTTAATTTTGATATGATTCCAAACTTGCAGAAAAGTCCCAAGAAAAATACAAAAGGCTCCTACCTACCCTTTACCGCCTTCACCAATAGTGTATTTTGTCAAAATTGACTGTTATCCTGTGTCATCCTGTTCTGTGTCAGACTTGTTCATGGACACACAATGTCTTGTCCAGTCTGCGTCAGACCCCCATGTGGATGAGATCCCCCCAGCCGCCCGTTGATCTCGTCTGTTTTTTTCCTATTGTGCAGAATTCTTTTGATGGAAATACTGTAATCTGTCCTGTTACTGGCTATTTAGGTTATCCGCACATTCTTGCTGCTATGAATTTAAACTAGTTTTATCTTCAGCCAAACATGGGGGAATTTTCATGGAAAAGAGGACTTGGCCGTGTGTTTAGGAAAAAAAAAAAAAAAGCAGCAACTGTAAAGATAATGCAAAGATGATAAAATCAGACACTATGAAAGCAAAACATTTGTGGTATAAGGAAATTGCCATTTTTTTTTTTTTTTTTTGCCCCACATTAAAATTTACAGCGGCCCGTTTCTCAGAACGCAATAGAATGGCCCTGGGTGTAGCTGCATTTTGGACTGGCGAAGCCATCACGCTTTATTCTGTGGTTTGTATTTATCTCTGCTACTCATTTTTCCTCCATTATTATGGATACTATTATTGTGAAGGCACCAGCTCCGTCCTCTAGAAATTGGAACAGAGAATGACTTCCCATTGATATCCCTGGGAACATTTCTACAATTTTCTTTTGCTGATAAAGGAGAATGCGCTCGTCTGCCCTCATTATGGGAAAAAAAGTCGCTGTCAGCTCTCTGTGTAGGAGCTGTGTCTTTATCCGCAGCGCTTGGTACGTGTGCCCAAATATTCTTATGATTTGAAAAGGGTTTGTGCAGGTTTTACCAAGCAAATTTTTGTTAATATGTATTTTCTAGTTATAGGTGGACACAATATCTTATATTTATGTGGTGCTGAGGATGGAACTCAGTGCCTCACACGTGCTAGGAGAGCGCTCTACCTCTGAGCTACGGCCCCAGCCCTACTGAGCAAATGGCGTATGGTACGTGCATGACCTTATTCAGTTCTCCAAACTATTCCTTTTTTGGGGGGGTACCGTGGATTGAACCCAGGGGCCTTCGACCACTGAGCCCCGTCCCCAGCCCTATTTTGTATTTTATTTAGAGTCAGGGTCTCCCTGAATTGCTGAGGGCCTTGCTAAGTGGCTGAGGCTGGCCTCCAACTCATGATCCTCCTGCCTCAGCCTCCCAAGCCTCTGGGATGACAGCCATGCACCATGGTACCTGGCTCTCCAAGCTTTCCTATAGACTCTTCAAAAGAAATTCCAGGTGAGAACAATTATAAGAAACAAAATACTCTAAGTGGCATGAGCAGGGTCTCAAACCCAGACCTCAGTAGCCCCAGCCCACATTCACGTGCCTGACCATGAGCCACACTAATCTCCCTCATTCTAATGGCCAGGAATGTCCCTTTGTTGGGTGCTTGGATGCCAAGACTAATCTGAACACCCCCATTGTACAGATGAAGGAAGAGGGTTTAGAAAGGCTTTTAAAAAATTCTTTTTTATTTACAGCAAACAGGCAGCTCATTTGGAGTTCATACCCAGAACTTTTTCATGTCGAGTCTCCCATCTGCCACGGTGATATGGTCCATGTAGATATACAGGAAACAAGGCTGAGATGTTTTTGAGGTGTTAATGGTGACTAATTTAACTCCGCAGACATTCCTCAGGATTTCTATCTGTGAATTCATTTGATCTGTAAATCCATAGCAATTCGAGTAGCTTTCAGGAAGCCTTTTATAAAAGGCAGTTGGACGGGGCACAATGACACACGCCTGTCATCCCAGTGGCTCAGGAGGCTGAGGCAGGAGGATGTCCAGTTGGAGGCCAGCCTCAACCACTTAGCAAGGCCCTAAGCAATTCAGCGAGACCCTGTCTCTAAATCAAATAGACAAAGGGCTGGGGACGGGGCTCAGTGGGTTATGGCCCCTGGGTTCCATCCCTGGTTTAAAAAAAAAGAGAGAGAGAGAGAAACAGTTGGGAGATTCAGATACTTAATAAGCAGATGCCCAGTGAAAAAGTCCATCCATAACAATTTCTTGAGCGTGTTGCAACAGTTATTTCGGCTTTGTGGTCGATGTCTGCTGAAGCCAGTGTTTGAAACCAACTTGCTCCCTCCCAGGGCAGGATCTCTTCGAGAAATTGACTTACGTTTGGGGAATCTGGGGACAACCAGATGATCTTTTCACAGCACCGCCGAGCTCCTCAGCTGGGTTTCAGAGGAGAACTGGAGATGAGTCACCGGACAGGGCCCGCTCTTACTCACAGTCTGGAGAATGGCTGTATTTATAACCTCCAAGCAGCGGTGGCAGCCTGCCACTTGTCACTGTGTAGCGCGGGGGGGGGGGGGGGGGAATGTCATCATTTTAAATGACTTTCAAAAACCCAAAGAATAACACCCCAGGCCCCTGAAAACAGAAGACGAAGACGGATGGAAGTGGGGTTCGGCTTCCCCCCAGGTCTGGTTGATCCTGGCCAAGAGCCTTCATGTGCATTTTACTAAGTCGGAGTCCATGGTGGGGGCCGAGGCCCTGTGGCCCACCAAGACTAAGATCCTTACCGTCGGGCCCCAGTTTTCTAACCTTTGTGCTAGAGGAAGTGGTGAAGTGTGCAGAGAGAACTGGGTCAAAGGGTGGCAGCCGGTTCCCAGGCCGGGGCACGTTGGACATCAGGGGCCGTGGCTTTTTATCACAGAGAATCAAAGATAAGAGGTTTCTATGGTTCTCATAAAACTTAAGACCGTCACAGCAGGGATTTTGTATGTCACTACAGTGACCTCAGGCAACCTTCGCTAGTATTTCTGCACATGGTATACCAGAAGGGACTCTCTCTATGGGATGGGGGCATAACAGGGGATTGAACTCAGGGGCACTGGACCACTGAGCCACAGTCGAGTTGGAAATAGAGGCCTTGAAGCTGCATTTTTAGTTTGGAGCTGTGCTGTTGACTGGTTTGAGTTGGGCTTGCTGTTCTTTATAATGAGGAGTCTTGCTATCCAGGCCTAGGGGTGCCTGTCATCCCAGTGGCTTGGGAGGCTGAGGCAGGAGGATCGCGAGTTCAAAGGCAGCCTCAGCAACAGCGAGGCCCTAAGCAACTCAGGGAGAGCCTGTCTCTAAACAAAATGCAAAATAGGGCTACAGATAGGGCTCAGGGGGTTAAGAATTCCTGGGTTCAATCCCTGGTACCAAAAAAACAAAACAAAACAGAAAACATCATTTCTCATGAGAGTCCTAATCCTTTATGGAGTTACAGAAACTTAGAAATGATCACTGCTCTTTATTTTTTAGTGGGGGGAGGTTCTGGGCAATTGAACTCAGGGTCACTGTATCAATGAGCCCCCTCCCCAGCCCTATTTTGGATTTTGTTTCGAGACAGGGTCTCCCTGAGTTGTGAGGGCCTCACAGTTGCTGAGGCTGGCCTCCACCTGGCGATCCTCCTGCCTCAGCCTCCTGAGCTTGCTGGCATTGCAGGTGTGTGTCCCCTCTCCTTCCTTAAATCCCAGGACTGACTTCTCCCAGCCACATTGACTCCTGCTGCGTGCACCTTGGACAGCCAAGGAAGAACTAGAAGAGGACAGGGATTGGAGATCCACCTGGACTCCAAGTTCCTAACTCTGGGGCATCCTTCCTTAGATCCAAGCAGCTGATTACCTTCCTGGAAGCCCCATTCCGTTGCCCCCAGGGAAGGAGAGGGTGACAGCACCAGTTCAAAGAGACTGCTAATGAGACTGGTGCTTTTTCAAGTGGGAAGGGATTCGGTCTCCCCACTGTGGAGGGGGAACAAAGAGAAGGTGAGCCAGGGGGGAAGACAGACGCAGAGCTCCTCTCCAGCCTCTGAATTCAGGGGCACTGAGTCGGGAGTTTCAAAGACCATGAATTTGCAGATGAGCAGACATTGACCTGCGCTTTCTAAAACCCAGTAGAAGCGATCTTGATCTCCCCCACAGCGTGGAATTATTTGTCCCGTATCCAAGTTGGAGCAGAATTTTAGTGGCCTTCCCCCCCAATCATTCCACCCCCAGAGTGTGCCCCCCAGGCCCTTGGCATGACCTGATGACCCTTCATTACTGGTGGATTTTTGGAGGAAGGACTCAGAAGGCGTGTTAACGGAGGGCCCTGCACCCTCCGCCTGCAGGTCACCAGATTTGGGAACTAAAAGTGGAATTGCAGACTGCTCCTCCTGCCTGGTCCACGCTGACGGGGGACTCCCGGTCCTAGATCCATCTCCGCTGCTTCCAAGGATGGGGTGGCCATTCCCGATGGGCCCTCACACACCCAGCAGATTCTCAGATGCACAAGTGCTTGTCCTGAGCTGCGCTGTTTGCAGAGAATATTTGCTCATAAATACCCAGCAGCACTAATGCTGCCTATTTCAACTACAGAGAACTTTTTGAAAGATATTTATTTTTTAATTTTCAGTGGACACCTGTCTTTATTTTGTTTCTACGTGGTACAGAGGATTGACCGCGGTGCCTCATGCATGCCAGGCCGTTGTGCTACCACTGAGCCACATCCCCAGCCCCCAGAGAACTTTTTAACGTTAACTTTTTAATTTGTCCTTCTTAGATATACAGGACAATAGAATGATTTGGGGCTTTTTTGTTTGTTTTTTGTTTTTAGTACCTGAGATTGAACCCAGGGGCCTTTAACCCCTGAGCCCCATCCCCAGCCCTATTTTTGGATTTTATTTAGAGACAGGGTCTCCCTGAGTTGCTCAGGGCCTCACTAAGTGGCTGAGGCTGGCTTCCAACTTGTGATCCTCCTGCCTCAGCCTCCTGAGTCACTGGGATGACAGATGTGATGACCACACCCAGCCGTAGAGTGTGTTTTAACATATTGTTCATTTGTGGAATCTAACTTATTCTAATTGGGATCCCACTCCTGTGGTTGGACCTGCTGCGGGGTGTCCCAGGTCGTGTGTTCCCATATGAGACTTTGATGCCGAATGTACCAGAGTGTCAGTTCTTGTCTAAATCGTACTTGTCTCTGAAACACTATCTAAAATTTTCACCTGAGGCCCAAGGTGTGATGGACTTATATGAGGGTGGGGGTGGGGAGAGAGGAGCTGTCTGGTCCATGAACTGCTATTCTCCTTCACCCCCATTGTGTGTGAGCATCTGCATATCTCAGAGGACACTCATCCTTTAGTTTTGGGGACTGGCTTATTTACTCAGCATGATCGTCTCTGGTTCTATCCATTGACCTGCAGATGCCATCATCCCATCCTTCTTCATGGCTCCGTAATATTCCATTGACTATATAGAACCTTATCAGACAAAAACCATCTCTTTCCTTCCCGTCAGGAATCCCTTGTGGCGTGGCGTCTCTGTCGGCTCCGGGGGTACCCCGAAATGCCAACAGCTCCTCAGGCATCGAAGCCGAAGTCAAAGGACCCTTAGAACCTGGGAGAGTGTCATGGAGCACAAGACCGAGGACAAGGACCGGCAGCGGCACAGCCTGACCTTGCTGAACCGGCTGAGGCGCATGCGCGACTCGGCCGAGATGGTGGACGTGGTGCTGGTGGCGGAGGAGGAGCGCTTCCCCTGCCACCGCGTGGTCCTGGCGGCCTTCAGCCCCTACTTCAAGGCCATGTTCTCGTGCGGGCTGCTGGAGTGCGCGCAGCGGGAGGTGGCGCTGCACGACGTCCCGGCCCAGGGCGTGGCCGCGGTGCTGTCCTACATGTACAGCGCGGCCCTGGACCTCAGCCCCGCCACCGTGCAGGCCGTGGCCACGGCGGCCCGCTTCCTGCAGGTGGACGAGCTCTTCGCCGTCTGCCAGCGGTTCCTGGCCGAGCACATGGACGCCGCCAACTGCGTGGGCATCTACCGCTTCGCCAAGCTGCTGGGCGCCGAGGACCTGCTCGATCGCTCCAGGAGGTTCCTGCACCAGCACTTCGCCGAGGTCAGCCTCCACGAGGAGATCCTGGAGGTGGACCTGCACCACCTCCTGGCCCTGGTGCAGTCGGACGAGCTCAACGTGACCCGGGAGGAGGGCGTCCTGGACCTGGTGCTGCGCTGGGTCGCCCGGGACCAGGAGGCGCGCGCCCCGCACCTGGCCCAACTCCTGCAGCAGGTGCGCCTGGAGCTGGTGGCCCCGGCCTTCCTGAGGGAGGCCCTGCGCAGGAACACCCTGCTGCTCAGCGACGCCGGCTGCATCGACCTGCTCCAGGGCGCCTTCAAGGCCCTCCGCGCGCCCCCCCAGCGCGCCCCGCACCTGCGCTACGGCATGGAGACCACCAGCCTCCTGCTCTGCATCGGCAACGACCCCTCGGGCATCCGCTCGCGGCACAGGAACTACGGGGACGCCAGCTTCTGCTACGACCCCGTGGCCAGGAAGACCTACTTCATCTCGTCTCCCAAATACGGGGAGGGTCTGGGGACCGTGTGCGCTGGCGTGGTCCTGGCCGACAACACCCTGATCGTGGCCGGGGAGGCCACGGCCTCCAGGCTCTCGAGACAAAGGAGCAAGAACGTGGAGATCTACAGGTTTGTACCCAGCCACAGGCTGGGGGGGGGGGTTTGCTTGGAGCTTAGCAACAGGAGAAGGGAGTATGGCCAAGAGTGGTCACTTCTTAAGTCCCATGGAGCCTGTCAGGTGACCCTGAAAGTCCCCCAGAAAAATTTGTATAAAAGGCACCGTGCAGTGGCCCACGCCTGTGAACCTAGCAGCTCAGGAGGCTGAGGCAGGAGGATCGCCAGGTGGAGGCCAGCCTCAGCCACTTAGCAAGGCCCTGAGCGACTCAGTGAGACCCTGTCTCTAAATAAAATAGAAACTAGGGTTGGGGATGGGGCTCAGGGGTCGAAGGTCCATCCTGAGTTCAATCCCTGGTACCCCCCCAAAAAAAAATGGGGGGAAAAGCTTGTATTTGTAGCTAGACATTTTTTCCTTCCTGTTTTCAGTTTTCAACGTTGAAACAAAAATGTGATCAGTAAGTCACTCAACAAACAAGTGCTGTCCAACCTTCATAGGATCCATTCTGTTCCGAGCCTGTTTTCTCAGTGTCTCAAAACACCACAGCCACCTTCCAGCTCTACGTGGGTCTTCGCCCCGTTGGGCTTCATCACAGAGCCCCACAGACACCCGGGTCCCCTTCCTGTTCCAAACACCCACACAGTGCTGAACATGTCACCCTGGGATGCTCGGGACTTTGGTTTCCTGCCCAGAGCGACAGGGGTTCGACCGTCCCTGCTGTCCCTGGTGAAAGCCAGGCACACACCTTCCAAGTGGCCTGCCCAGCCCCAGGCAGAATGTTCCTGATGGGAAATGTGGGAGTCGCCCGGAAACAGCTCCTCAGAGAACCTTCCAGGCCTGACTGCAGGTGTCGCTGAGAACTGCCCTCGGTGCAGAACCCACTTCCCCAGTTCTTCTTGTTCACGAGGGACCCGGGTTCTCGGTTCCGGGTTGTCCTGGGCGGTGCGTGTGTGGTGTTTGGATTCCAGGTGATCTTCCTGGGTTTTCTGAGACTTTGGATTTCACTTATTTTATCCACAGTGGCCCGAAGTACTTTGTCCTGCTCAGATCACGACTGGGAAAATGAGACGTCACCCTGCGTGAGACAAGGGGCGGACTCAAGCGCTCATGCTCGGTGACTGATGGATGTCAGGTCTCTAGAAGGCCCCGAGAGACCCCAAGCCCCTGTCCCCTGTGACTCTTCTTAGATCAATCTGACGATTCACGGAAGAAGTCACTGCACCTAGGGGGCTAGACTGTGTGCCCAGTGCCCGGCCACGTCCTCAAATGAGCTTTTATGCCATCCTTTGACCCAGTTGGAAGCCTGTTAGAACTGCAGTCCTTAAAATTCTCCGTGTCCTACATCAGGCAGCCTGTTAGAAATCCTGAGATGGATATTTTCAGATTCTCGGCCTGAAAACCATGATTTTTTCATGTCATTTTTTATTAGAAATTGAACCCAAGACAGGTTTCCCCCCTGAGCCCCGTCCCCAGCCCTTTTTGATATTTTATTGAGAGACAGGGTCTCCCTGAGCTGCTCAGGGCCTAAGTGGCTGAGGCTGGCCTCCACCTTGCGATCCTCCTGCCTCAGCCTCCAGAGCTGGTGTGGACACAGCTGTCTTGTGCTGATCTTCTTTCCCCTGCAGTTAGGAGAGCCAGACCTCACTGTGCTCAGTTGGAAAACAGACTTGAGTGTGTTCCCTTCTGTTTTCGGGTGGACGCTGATCCTGGGCTCCTTTCTGTGGATTTCCAGGTACCGTGACGGAGGCAGCCCGTGTTGGGAGAAGCTGGCCTCCACCGAGTTCCGGGAGCTGTATGCTCTGGGCAGCGTCCACAAGGACCTCTATGTGGTCGGAGGCCAGATGAAAGTCAAAAACCAGTACCTCGTCACCAACTGTGTGGACAGGTACTCCGTGGAGCGCGACACCTGGAAGAGAGTGTCCCCCCTCCCGCTGCAGCTGGCCTGCCACGCCGTGGTGACCGTGGGGGAGCAGCTCTATGTGATCGGGGGCTGGACCCCGCAGGTGAGAACCTCTTAGCTCCCCGTGACAGCAGCGAGCATCCTGCCATGTCACCTACATGGCGTGTGGCTTCCCACTCCTGGGGCTGGACCTGCTGCGGGCTGTCCCTGGTCGTGGGTTCCTAGGTGCACATGGGAGTCATATAGGAAATGTGTTGGATAACTAACTGGCCTGGCTCCTCTGTTGAAGAGGCCGTAGTCACTGGACACTAAGAGTCACACACCTAAGCCGGGTGCAGGGGTGCAGGACTGGAGTCCCAGGGGCTCAGGAGGCTGAGGCAGGAGGATCGCAAGGTGGAGGCCAGCCTCAGCCACTTTAGTGAGGCCCTGAGCCACTCAGTGACATTCTGTCTCTAAATAGAATCCAAATAGGCCCAGGATGGGGCTCAGGGGTGGAGGGCCCCTGGCTTCATTCCCAGTCCCCAAAACATAGAATATCTATATAAAAAGGAAACACAGTTTGCTTGGTTTGGATCCAGCCCCGAGACCACAGAAGGGGGGTTCCCGTGACACTGACGCTGTCCTGCCACCCCAAGGCCCAGGCTCTGTGAGGGCCACAGATGCTCTGTCCCCCGGCTGCTGTTCCTGGTGGAGACCGCTGACCGGCCTTGCTCTCTGGCCTCTGTTTCCCGCAGATGGATCGCCCCGACGAGGAGCCTGACCGGTTGAGCCACAGGCTCCTGCAGTACGACCCGGGCCAGGATCGATGGCGGGAGCGGGCGCCCATGCAGTACGCCAAGTACCGCTTCAGCACGGCCGTCCTCCACGGGGAGATCTATGTGCTGGGTAAGCTCCCCGCCCACAGTGCGGCCCTCTTTATTCTCCTGGCACTTGGCTCAGTCGACGTGAACTATTCTCCCTTCTCTGTCCCCTTCCAAATGTGTCTGAGTCGCCAGACTTCACCTCAGGGAGACCAAGTGGCCGCCATCTCACCCGATCCACCAGATTCATAGAGATGTCACCCAATGACTTCCTCTGAGTCATATATTCTGGGGGCCACGGGGTTGAACCCGGGGGCGCTACACCACTGAGCCGTCTCCCCAGCCCCTTGGTATATTTTTTTATGAAGACACGGGGTCTCGTGGCCGGAGCTGGGGCTCAGTGGTGGAGCCCTTGCCTGGCAGGTGTGAAGCACTGGGTTCAGCCCTCAGCACCTCATATAAATAAATAAGATCAAGGTCCATTGACAACTCAAAAAAGTAAAAGAAAAACAAACAAGAGAGACAGCTTCACTGAGTGGCTGAGGTTGGCCTCCACCTTGCGATCCTCCTGCCTCAGCCTCCCGAGCTGCTGGATTGCAGGTGGGCCCCTGCAGGCCGGCCTTCTCTCTCACGTCCTGAACACGCGAGGTCTCGCACACATCAGCGCGTCTCAGACCCGAGGGCCACGGATGGGGTGAGCCCAGTTCCAGCACGTTCTCCTGAGGCCCGTGCTTCCCTCCTGCCCCCTCGTTGGTTGGGTTGTGCGCCCTGAGCGCCTTGCTGCTCCCTACGGTCACCCCGTCCCCTCCGTCCTCCCTGCGTGTGGGAGACAGGAAGGACGCCGGCTGCCCTGGCGCAGGGGGACTGTGTCCTTGGTTCCTTGGTCCCATCTGCAGTGAGGGACAGCGGGCACACGCCTGGTGGAAGGGACGGGTCGCAGCGGTGACGAGGAGGAGACAGGAGTGGCGGGATGGGAACAGCACCCCTGTGAGCAGAAGTGACACGTCCTGAGCTCAGGGGGGACGTCGTCCCTTGTCTGCGGGTCCTGAGGGGAAGCAGGACTCGTGCCCGAGTGTTAACGAGGGTATTACTTAAGGACAAGACGCGGTGCAGTGTGACTGGTGACGGCCTCAGTGACAGGGCTCAGTCGAGTGAAGCTTTTCCTCTGGACAGACGTCCTGTGCAGTGTCAGGACCATGTGCCACGTCCCAGGCCCAGAGGAGACCGGGACCTAGCTCAGGGCCGGGAGCAGCCGACCCCGAGTCCTGGACGGCAGTGGCTCAGAGCTGATTCCAATAGAAGCAAGAGCAGAGGAAGCAGATGAGGCCTCAGGGACCCAGGGTCGAGAGCACTAGTTAGTGTGGGTACGGGGAGCCTGGTGACAGGCTGTGAGTAAGGAATCAAGAAACTCAGCCAGGTGCGGTGACACACACCTGTCATCCCAGCAGCTCTGGAGGCTGAGGCAGGAGGATCCTAAGTTGGAGGCCAGCCTCAGCAACAGCAAGGCCCTGAGCAGCTCAGGGAGACCCTGTCTCTAAATAAAATACAGAATGGGGCTGGGGACGGGGCTCAGGGGTCAAGGGCCCCCAAGTTCAATCGCTAATACTCTCCCCACCCCAAACTGGAACGTCTGCCTGGGAGTTATTGAGGTCAGTAACGGATGAACAGTCCCTGCAGCGCAAGCACGCAGCCTCATAGCTGCTGCCGTGGGCGACTTTATGCCGTGGGCACTTTGTGGAATTCTTTGCATAAACAGTTTCCTTTCATGGTCATAAAAATGGACCAAGTATTCACTGTCCTCTGTGTGGCTGGTGGGTATCCAGGCGGAGCCTCGGTCGGAAAATATCTAACAATGTTCCATGAAGCACTTTTTAAGCTTCTGAAATCTATGGTGCCAGTGAGCATTTAGCTAGCAAAAAAGATAAGCGAGACCAAGAGACAAAGTAAAAATGCCACCACTCTCTCCCCTGAAGAGGATTTGGAAGGAGACACATTGTCAAAAAGAACCGTTTCAGATCTAGAAATCAATCAGAAGTCGGGTGGGGTGGCCCACGCCTGTCGTCCCAGCAGCTCGGGAGGCTGAGGCAGGAGGATCGCAAAGTAGAGGCCAGCCTCAGCCACTTAGCAAGGCCCTGAGCAACTCAGCGAGACCCTGTCTCTAAATAGAATATAAAAAGGTCGGGGTTCCATGGTTAAGCATCCTGGGCTCCATCCTTGGTACCCCCCAAAATTAATTAATTAATAAAAATGCTCTCTCAGTGAGGGACGGCAAGACACCAGAGCGTGTGTCACACCTCGAGTCTAGGGCTGGGCTGGGCTGGGCTCAGTGCAGAGCCTAGTGGCAGAGTCTAGCACGTGGGAGGCCTTGGGTCAGGCCCTCAGCACCAGAGGAAACTAAATTAAAAAAATAAAGGCATTGTGTCCAACTGGAACTGAAAATAAACGTGAACAACAGAACAACAACAAAACCCTGCAAGTCTGAACTGCGGTGTCTCCCTGGGCACCAGGACTTCTGCAGGTGGGACACCTGGCTGGGGTCCCTGGGGTCCACTCTGAAGAGCCGCGTCCCTGTGTGAGGGTGTGTGAGAAGCCACCTTGGCCGATGTCCCCCGTGTCTGGAGCAGCAGGGGAACTTGACGTGACACAGGATCACTGGGGTGCGAGACTCGCACGCCCCTGAAGAGTGGTGAGCGTCCACACGGGCACAAGTGGGGCTCGACTCCGCCTCCCACACCTGAGGAGCCGGGTGTCTGTCCCAGACCTCAAAAAGTCCCCGCAGGTAGCTTCCCAAGGAACAGAAGACATCCCGCAGCTAAAGGAACAAGCACCTTCAGCAAGAGCCTTGGAGCAACGACTGATAGAAACACAACCAGGAGGCCACGCATGTGGGAGCCATCGACGAGTGGTGTCAAGTAACCGTGTTCCTTTTAAAGAAATCAAGGACGAGCCAAGTGTCACAAAGAAACAGAAAACCACACAGAGCGGTCAGTGGTATTGGGGACACTGGGTGGAGTGGTGCAGCCTGTCACTCCAGCAGCTCTGGAGGCTGAGGCAGGAGGATCGCAAGGTGGAGGCCAGCCTCAGCCCCTCAGCGAGACCCTGTCTCTAAATAAAATAGAAAAGGGGCTGGGGACGGGGCTCAGGGGTGAAGGGTCCTGGGTTCAGTCCCTGGTACTAAAAAAAGTGTTTGGGACGAGCTGGACCCAGTGTGAAGGGTCCTAGTGACAAAACCCAGTGGGTGAGAGAGAACCAGCAAATGAGGAGAGTCTTGAGGAAACTGTCCAGAGTACGACACAGAGGGACAGATCACACACTCACCACCTCCCCTCCCCACCACCCCTCGCTCTGAATGGAACAGAAGTTGGGGACGTAGGGGACAGAGGAGAAGACGAGTGACGTTCAGTCAAGTCCCCGAGAGGGAAGAGGCTGCTCTGCTTGGGGACTTTGTCCCCCAGGGGCTCAGGTGCTGGAGGCTTGATCCCGAGGTGACAGTATCAGGAGGTGGCCGGGCCTTCAGAGGTGGCACAGGGGAAGGTCATCGGGTCACGGGGACTCTGGCTGTCCTCCTAGGGACGCGGAGGCCGAGGCAGGAGGCCCCGTGTTGAAAGCCCGTGGCCCTGAAGAGAGGCCGTGCCCCCCACAGGAAGGGCCTGGAGTGGCCCTGGGACAGCAGCCCTGGCCAGGACAGGAAGAGGAAGGAGCCCAGTGCGGCCCACCCTGCCCTCTGTCCCTCTTCCGTGTGTCCCCTCCTGTGCCCTGTCACCTGTGATGTCACCCACCACGGGCCCCCGGAGGACGCCTCCTCCTCTTCCTGAAGCCCCGAGCCTCTTGGGTTGTGTCACGGCCACGGTGGACGGGCAGGGCCAGGGACAGCGTCTGAGGGTTTCCTGGAACTAGGGGAAGACAGGCAGAGCCTGGTGCCAACGCAGCCGGCCACCGAGAGCCCTGGGCACAGGGACCTGAGGGAGGGACTGAGGGACCCCAGGGGAACAGGGCCTTAACGCAGCTGGAGGAAAAGGAGCGGCAGGCTGACAGGTGGCCTCGCCCGCCACAGAGTGAGGGACACAGGGACAGCAGGGCCGTCCGCTCCGTGTGCCACGGTGACAGGGACACAGCCTGTGAGATGGTCCTGCAAGACCAACAGAGACGTCTCAGACACACCAGAGCGTCACCACCCGGGAACGTCCCCACAGCAGGTCCCCACCCTAGAAGCTTCAAGAATGTTCTTCAAGAAAAAATAGAAATGAACAGGGACCCAACAGGGAAGGTCCGAGAGGCAGGGGGTCGGGGGTGGCGTGAAGACCACCCTGTGGGCACCACGTCCCCAGACGGGTGGAGAGTCCTGGACCGGCCTGACCCTGGGCTGAGGGGACACCTGCCCGGCTCCTGGTCGTGGTCTGTGCAGCTCCTGGCTGCTGCAGGTGGCTGTCCTGGGGCCCAGGGGGACGGCCCCCGTCACACCCCAGGAAGCTGTGACCCCTCCCAGGGCGAGGACTGCTTCTCGTGGCCTTTTATCAGGTCAAGGTCAGTGGGGCCCGTTTCCCAACTGAAGTCCACCGCTAAGCAGTGCCTGGGAGAAGCCAACGGGAAGTGGGGACAGTCACCAGCCGTCAGTGAGCAGTAAGGAGAGCAGGGTGACACGGCCGGGCCGGTGCGAGGGTGTGATTCTAGGGGCTCAGGAGGCCGAGGCAGGAGGATCCCAAGTTCACAGCAGCCTCAGCCACTTAGAGGCCGTGGCTCAAAGAACTAAGCACGGGGTGCGGCTCAGTGGTCAGAACCCCAGAGAGAGAAGCGGGTCGTGTCTCCTAAGGCCTCAGGCTCCGGGTGAGGGTGGGGAACGTCAGAGACGGGACGACTCGTGTGACAGTGAGACCAGTTGTCACCCGCATTCTGTTAGCAGGACACAGACTCCACTTGACAATACGAGTCTGAGAAAGAAGCCTGTTTGCTCTGGCTGCGCCCCCAAAGCCTGCAGGCTGCAAAGTCCTTTTGTCTTTCTCCACGTCCACCTGACCTCTGCTGCGCCCCTCAAGTGTGTGTGCCCAAGGGAGTGACCTGCAGCCACGTCAGTGACGTCTCCCTCCACCTGAGGCCAGAGCAGGCTGCGATACTCGTGAGCTCTCTGCCTGCCATTTGCCTGATGCAGCTTCAAAAGAAACCTGTGGCAGCAGGTTGACCATCAGTGAGCCATCAATCTGGGGGACACCGGAAGTTGAACCCAGGAGCGCTTAACCCGAGCCCCGTCCCCAGCCCTTTTTTGATTTTATTTAGAGACAGGGTCTTGCTGAGTGGCTGAGGCTGGCCTCCACCTTGTGATCCTCCTGCCTCAGCCTCCCCAGCTGCTGGGATCTACTTTGCTGCTGTGACTCAGGGACCCTGCAGCACCACTGCAGAGGGGGACGGTGGACATGGGGCCCAGGGTGTCCCAGGTCCCAGTCCACAGAAGGCGGCTCCACTCCTGGCCGAGGGGAGGCAGGACATCATGGAGGAAGAGTGTGGGGAGGGAGCAGCTCCCATGGGGACCAGGGAGCAGGGACTCCACTCTCCAGGGACAAAGAGAGACCCCAAGCCACGGCCCCAGGGCCACCTCCTCCCCACACCCCACCAGGGGCCACCAGGGACCCCCAGGGAGCCATTCCCTGCCGGGGTTCAGGCCTCACACCCCTCACTCCTCCTCTGGACCTTCCTGTGTCACCTCCCACGTGGACTCTGGGGACAGCCACAGCAGGACATGACACAGGAACCACATCGACCACCCCTGTCCAGCCAGCAAGTGACAAGCCAAGAATATGGAGCGGCTCCGTCTTCCCAGCAGCCCACGTGGTGTCACCAGGGCACGGGACACACAGGCACCCCCAGGCTGGCCCCGCAGGCAGCTGGGGACCTGGTGACATCAGAAGATCTTCCTCCACTTTGGATCAGGCCCCGGAGAGCAGAATGCGCCTGCCCCCTTGAGGCCACCTGCAGGGTGGCACACAGGGCCAGCACCTCTGTGTCACGGGTCCTGTGTCCCCAGCCACCTCACCCCAGGCCAGCGCAGGAGGAGCCTCCGTCTCCAGGAAGGTGGGCAGGGGGGAGTGTCCCCTCCCGTCCTGCTCTCTGTCCCCTGCAAAAACGCACAGTGATGGCGACCCAGGGTTCTGCTCTGTATCTGGGACGTGTTGGGAGGTGACTTGGAAGGACTCTGTCTGTCCCTCCACCTGTTTTGGAATTAAAAGTCCGGCTCACAGGTTCTGGGCACGTGGACTAGACATTCGGGGGTGTCGAGGTCCCACTGACGTCCCACAGATGCCCCCATCCCCCCAGGACGGCTCTCAGCCTCTGTCTGATCATTCATCTCATCCAGAGTCACCTTCAGTGCTTGCTCGGCACGTCTGCTGCCCTAGTGTCCTTGATGGTGACATCACACCCAGGGGGACACAGGGAGTGGGTCCCGCCTTTGTGGCCAGGAACAAAGAGGGGACACCCAGGAAGCCCACACACAGCACCCCTCAGGCGGAGCCCGTGAACTGTCTGTCAACCAGCGAGAAGGCACAGATCCAGGGTCAGATTGTGGACCAAGGGACGAACGTCGTCATTGATACACTTTTTTTGGTGCCAGGCATTGAACCCAGGGGCCCTCGACCCCTGAGCCCCGTCCTCAGCCCTTTTTCTATTTTTATCTAGAGACAGGGTCTCCCTGAGTGGCTCAGGGCCTTACTTTGGCTGAGGCTGGCCTCCAACTGGCGATCCTCCTGCCTCAGCCTCCCCATCAGCTGGGATCACAGGTGTGGGCCACGGCACCCAGATACATAACTTTTGGTAACAGGGCAACAACAGTGACGTCATTGGTTATTCCCCAAAATCCACAGGACAGGATCACACCCCATGTTCTCTGTGTCTGGTGGGGACAGCTGTTCTCAGGGGCTCTGCTGTGAAGGTTCTGAGTTACATGGAGGATGTGGGTGCTCTGTGGGCCTCCACCTGACCCCCCTGTGGCTCACCCTTGACCTTGCTGGTCCCTGAGGTCACGATGCAAACCAGCGCAGAGCGTGGCCCTTACGGGATGGCACAGTGACCTGGGGGTGCCTGGCTGTGGCTGAAGCCTTTCCCTAGGCCTCTTGCCCCACGGGAGGAGGTTCCGCTTTTGATCAGGTTGAGGACCTTCTTGGTACCACCCCAAAAGTGGGCCTGGGGACAGCTGTGTGGTCAGCTGAGGCCAGTGTGGCCCTCCTTGGACTCAGCCGCTCAGACTCCGTGTGGTCCCTGGGCTGCACTATTCATCTGGTCAGGTCACGCCCTGCAGCCAGCAGCCTTCTGGGCTCAGAGCCTCCGTTCCTGGGTCCCCACTGGGATGGGACACAGGCCAGACGGTCAGCAAAGGGGAAAAGGACTCATCTCTGGTGCCCAGGCTCAGCCCCGGTGGTGGGGAGACCAGCCTTCACCTCCAGCTCCATGGACTCGCTGAGTCCTGGGCAGCAGAGCCACCGAGGGACACACCTGTCATCCCAGCAGCTCAGGAGGCTGAGGCAGGAGGATCGCAAGGTGGAGGCCAGCCTCAGCCACTTAGCCAGGCCCTGAGCCACTCAGCGAGACCCTGTCTCTAAAGAAAATGGGAAAAGGGGCTGGGGACGGGGCTCAGAGGTTGGGCACCCCAGGGTTCAATCCCTGGGACCAAAAAGAATACAAGTGACATTGAATTTGGCCATGGGCACGTAGCAGTCATCACTGTTGCTGTGACATGATCTTAGAAGCAGCACCAGGCGGGAAAGGGACGCGCCACCGTCCTGGAGCCTGGGGGACAGACCTGACCGGCCGTTTCCTGGGTCCCTCTCTTGCAGGGGGAATCGGCTGTGTGGGTCGAGACCAGGGCCAGGTGCGGAAGTGCCTGGACGTGGTGGAGATCTACAACCCCGACGGGGACTTCTGGAGGGAGGGCCCGCCCATGCCCAGTCCCCTGCTCTCCCTCCGAACCAACGCCAGCAGCGCAGGCGCCGTGGACGGCAAGCTCTACGTCTGCGGGGGATTCCACGGAGCAGGTACCGCCCCGGGGCTGGTTCTGACCCTCAGTGGCCAGGTGACGGCCCCAAGAGCAGGGCCACACTGGCAAGAGTCCGGCTTCTGGAGCTCGGTGACCTTGAGCGAGTTCCTAGACCTGTGTGCTCAGGTGCCACGTTTACCCAACGGGGTATCCACACCCCCAGGTGCGGGCCACCCTCAGTGGGTCCTGGCTTATCCTGTGGCCGGCACACGGCAGACACCACCCACACAGACCCCGAAGGGCAGCGTTGAACCTGAAGGGGGGGAGAGATCATAGGAGGGGCACAGATGCTAAAATAGGGAGAGCCAAGCCCGGAGGCTCCCGCCTGTCATCCCACAGACATGGGAGGCTGAGGCAGGAGGATGGCCAGGTGGAGGCCAGCCTCAGCAATTTGGTGAGGCCCTGAGCCACTCAGCGAGACCCTGTCTCCAAATAAAAATTAAAAAGGGCTGGGGACGGGGCTCAGGCGGGGGGCCCTCCTAGGTCCAGTCCCCAATTCTGCCAAATAGACTCAGTGTCACCTCACTGACAGCCGCGGTGGCCCCCACAGACCTGTGGGAACAGAGCTCCGGGCACTGCATGTTCTTAAAGAGAGACGTCCTGCTCAGGCCAGCAGTGCGGAGCAGGGCCTCGGGCCAGGCCGACCTTTGTTTAATGAGCACATAATACACAACAGAGAATAACGATCATGACTTCAGCATGAGGCAGGGCAGATGCGCGCACCAAGTGCCGTGATCGAGCTCCTCTGGTTCTTTTTCTTTTTTGTTGATATTTCCAGTTCTAGATGGACACAATACCTTTATTTTGTTTATTGAGGTTTTTAAAAAAAAAATCTTTATTTTATTCTTTGTGTGGTGCTGAGAATCGAACCCAGGCCTCAAGCATCTAGGTGAGCGCTCTACCGCGGAGCCCCAGCCCCAGCCCCAGCCCCAGCCCCAGCCCCAGCCCCAGCCCCAGCCCCAGCCCCAGCCCTTACTGAGATTTTGTTACGTGGTTCTGGGGCTGGAACCCAGGGCCTCACACACGCTAGACAAGTGCTCAGCCCCTGAGCCCCGTCCCCAGCCCTTTCTACAGTTTATTTAGAGACAGGGTCTCGCTCACGTGATGAGGGCCTCACTAAGTTGAAGAGGCTGGCCTCCAACTCACAATCCTCCTGCCTCAGCCTCCCGAGTCCCTGGGATGACGGGCCTAACAGCCACAAGCCCTGCCGGGATACAAGGATCTGAGCTGTCCAGGGAGGGCGCCCTGCTGCCCGGCCCACTCGGCGGGCCTCTCCCTCCGCTCTGGTCACCTCGATTCCTGTCCCTCCCCAGCCGCCCACTTTCTCTTGACCAAAAAGAAGGCTGAGAATCCAGGAGAGCGGTCAGGCTGTGTGGAAGGACGGAGGTCATCGGTGTGGAGGGGCGGGAGGCTGTTCTGTTGGGCCTCGACTGGCCTTCCCCCCACACTGAGGCGGAGTCCACAGCCCAGGATAACTGACCCCGGAGCCCACTTCTCCTCTGTGCCAGCCCATAATGCCGCAGCCATGTTGGTCATGAATAAGCCCCGAACCTGGTGGGAAATGGGAAATCTTTAACCGACTGAGTGCACGGCCAGAGAAAGGTGCTAGACACCCTTTTATCACGATGTTGTGTGCTCAAGAGGGTGGTCACAGGACGTCCACGTCCCCCCCCTGCAACGGGCCACGTGACAGCCAGCAAAATGGGCAGGAGGATCCCAAGGTGGAGGCCAGCCTCCGCCACTTGCTGCTGTTTCACAGCCTTCAATGGACCAGCGGCCTCCCCCACCGCCAAGGCATCGTCTGATGGTCAGGCTCATTGTGACACTCAGGAGCTGCTTCTGTCAACTCGAATCAGGGACATTGTCCCTTTCGCTAGCACAGTGGCTCCTTCAGCACCCGCAAGACCAGGAAGCATCCTCACCTGAGGACAAGCCACGTCCGCCTGGGGGAGGCGCCTCGCTCCACCATGTATTATTCATCCTCTTACCCACTCACTCCAAACAGGATGGAGTCTGGGAGACTTACCAACCATCCACAGTGACACAGAAAGGAACAGAAGAAACACACCACTCACTGGGCACGGCGGCCCACGCCTGTCCTCCCTGGGGCTCAGGAGGCTGGGGCAGGAGGATCGCAAGGTGGAGGCCAGCCTCAGCCACTGAGCGAGGCCCTGTCTCTAAATAAAATAGAAAAAGGGCTGGGGACGGGGCTCAGTGGGTTCAATTCCTAGGACCAAAACAGCGAGTCGGCGCCTCACCAAAGAGCCCATCAGGGGAAAGCGGTCCCCAGGGTCCAGGAACGTCGCTCGTGGGTGGCACTGTCCTGGGCCACTGCGCTCAGTGACACACCAACACGAGGCTCACCAGCTTGTCCCCCAGGTGGCCCAGCAGCCTGAACACCCCGGCTCCATCCCCAGGCGGCCATCCCCGTGCCACCGGGGGAGCTCTGTGACACCTGGTTATTTTTTAGTCATCTCTCTATTTTAGTGGAAGGCGGACACGTGGCCTTCAGTGGTTTCTGTTCTACGTGACGCCGAGGAGCCAGCCCAGGGCCTCCCCCGTGCCCCAGCCTGGCCCTGAGCCTCATCACTCACCCCCAGTGGTTCCTTGACCCCCGATACATGGGGCCGTCTTCCCGGGGGACTGTTCCAGAACCGCGCTCTCCAGGCAGCAGCCCAGGGCTCCCAAGGTCACGTGTGAGGGTGTGGGGGACACTGAGCGAGGGGGAAGAGCCAGCGAGGGGGGTCCAGGCTGCGGCCTGCCCTTGTCACTGTGGTGACACGTGGAGAACCTGAGCCTCACGTGAGCAGTCACCCCAAGGCCAGCTCAGTTCCTTGCTTGTGGGTCCCCAAGGGTAAGAGCAACAGGGACCCCAGAGGACGCCTGGAGCCCCTGAGCTGTTGTCGGTGAGCGTGTCACACGTCTGTCCCTCCTGAGAACCCAGGTCCCTGGGTCAAACTCATGCAGAGCTCTAACTGCCCCGGTCACACAGTTAGGAGGTGCCCTGGGTGCCTGGTCACTGCACATCGATGCGGTAGCTTCACTCCAGGTGAATGCGAGGTTTCCAAGGAACATGGTAATGGGCCTTCGTGGTTCTAGAAGGAAACTTGGCTCAGCTCGGTGGCCCACGCCTGTCATCCCAGCCACTCAGGAGGCCGAGGCAGGAGGATGGCGAGTTAGAGGCCAGCCTCTCACTCTGGGGACTCGGGGGACAACAGCCGCGTCCAGCGGCCACAGCAGCTGGCAATATGGAGGGACACGATGGCACTCTGCCCCCTGCACCTGGCCTCCGTTTTACCACAACCAGTGACATGGGCTCTCGGTCATCGCTGCCGAGAGCCCTGATCCAGCAAGCATGACCCTGGGACAAATGTACATCCACAAAGACACGTGGACTTTGAGACGCTCAGAAACCAAAGGACCAAACGGATAAAATAATGAAAACAGAGAGATGGAGAGCCGGGCGCAGTGGCCCAGGCCTGTCACCCCACCGGCTCCGGAGGCTGAGGCAGGAGGATCGCAAGGTGGAGGCCAGCCTCAGCACATCAGCAAGCAATTCAGCGAGACCCTGTCTCTCAATAAAAAACAAAAAGGGCTGGGGACAGGGCTCAGGGGTAAGTGTCCCTGGGTTCCATCCCTGGGACCAAAAAGAAAGATCTGAGAACTGAGCTGTCAACACAGCAGCCGTCTCTGTTTAAATATTTTAATTTAGGATGATGAAAATCAAATAAAATTTATGAATCCTTCCCAGCAGGCATAGAACACTCGGCCCCACAGGGGGTTGACGGTCACAGGGAGGGACACAGGGGAACTCAGGACCCCACTGTGAACAGGTCCTGGGTCCACATGCACGTCCAGCCTAAAGGGACAGACTGGAGAGATTTCAACCACACGAGGGACCTCGGATCACAGCAGCTCAGTCCACAGTGGCCAAGCCGTGGAGCCAGCCTCGGTGTCCATCAGCAGATGGGTGGGTGGATACAGAGACTGGCACATGTACGCCGTGGAATATTACTCAGTCGTGAAAAAGAACAGGTGGCACTGTAGACCATACGTGAAGTGGAATAAGCCAGACTCAGAAGGTCCAGGGTCCGATGTTCTCTCTCAGGTGTGGAGGCCAGAGAGGAAAGATAGGTGGGGCCGGGGAATCTCATAAAAATCCAAGGGAGACTGAAAGAGGGAAGAGGCCAAGAGCTAGGCGGGAGGGAGGGAGAGAAGGGGAGGCACTGGAGAGTGACATTGGCCACATTATATTGTCACGTTGTGCCTTGTGTGCGTGTGAGAATCATTTTGTCCAGCTATAATGCACCAATAAAAAATGGGGAGGGGGAATTGGTGCCCTCAAATACATAAGAAGAAATTAAAAGTGAAAATCCACACAGCACCCATTTCCCAGGAAAGGAATTATTTGGGGCTGGAGGGCACAGACTAGGGACTGAATCCGGGGGCGCTTAACCACTGAGCCCCATCCCCAGCCTTTTTTATCTTTAATTTTGAGACAGGGTCTCACTCGGTTTCTGAAGGTCTCACTAAATTGCTGAGGCTGGCCTCCAACTTGCGATCCTCCTGCCTCAGCCTCCTGAGCGCCTAGGCAGGCACCACCCCACACAGCCCCAAAGGAATTCTCCATCCAACAAAAGAAACTCAAATATGTCCAATACTTCAGCTTGGCCCAAATGACTCTGTCTGTAGGACTTTCCAATTCTCCAGTTTCAGCCCTGCTAGTGTATATTGGGATTTTTTAAAAATAAATCACATGAAGGGGCTGGGGTTGTGGCTCCGCGGTAGAGCGCTTGCCTAGCACATGTGAGGCCCTGGGTTGGACCCACATAAAAATCAATAAAATAACGGTATCGTGTCCAACCAACTGCAACTGAAAAAAAATAAATTTTTTGAAAATATTTTTTAATAAATAAATAAATTACATTAAAAGATATAAAGCCCTCTCCCACTCCCAAAATTGAGAAATGCATCAAGCTTCTAATGAGGATCTTTGCTAACCTGTTGGCCCTTCCCAAGTTGATTTAGAAATTTAATTTGTGAGTCCACCCTAGGCCAGACCAGTTCTGCTTGGGGTGGTGCTGGTTGGCTTCTCTGTCCTCACAAGTGTCACGAGATACTTATATATTGAGCACAACAAAGTCATAGAATCAAGACTATCTCTGTGATCTGGCCATTCTTGTCTTCTCTGGGCCTCCAACCTCTTTTTTCCTGGAGGATGTAAAATAGATCCCCAAACCAGGCCACAGCACCCAGAAATACCGCAGCCTCCGTCTCTGGCAGGTGGGTGTTCCAGTCTGCCCACCATCTGGCACCCGCCCCAGATTCACACTCCCCAGGGCCTCAACGTCGTCCTTTCCGTGTTTTATTCAGACCCTGACACTGTCCCTCAGCAGCCATGAATCCTCAGGCCAGTTAATCAGCTTCCTTGGAGCAACAAAATGGGGAAGATGATCAGTCTCTCCCAGATGACTGCTCAGAGAACTAACTGAGATACGACTTTGGAAGCACTTCAGAGTGTCCAGTTACTCACCGTGGACATAAGAATAGAGTCACCTCCGCAGACGGGACTTCACTCCCCTCATCGTGTTGGACTATTGTGGTTTGGGTTTTTGAGACCAGGTCTCTATGTTGTCCAAGGGCCTCAGACTCCTGGGCTCAAGCAATCCTCCTGCCTCAGCCTCCCCAGGAGCTCAGACCGCGGGTGCCCGCCACTGCACCCAGAATGTTCCTGTTTCAAGTCAGTCGTGGACCCAGTGTCACCTCAGTTGGCAAACTAGGAAGAGTGACGTGGGAGGTCTCGCGGTAGCAGATAAAAATGGTGGATGTCCTCAGACCTGGATGCACACCGCGGAGGTGCCAGGGAGAGAAGAGACAAACCAGCCCCAAGTCCCAGAGCAGTCCTGAACCCACTGGCCAGCAAAGCCCAACTGTCACCCGTGTGTCCCAACCTACGTGGACCCACACTTGCTGTTACCCCCTTGCTGCATTTTGGATCTGGACTGTCTCCCAGAGGCCCCTGTGCTGAAGGCTTCTGTGACGCTCTTGGGAAATGGAGGCGTCTTCAGGAGGTGGGGCCTAGCGAGAGGCAGTTAGGTCATTGGGGGCGTGTCCCTGACAGCGACATTGGGACCCCTATTCCCCTTCTCTCTGCACCTCCTGCTGTCTCTGCCGCTGGCTCCCACCATGGTGAACCTGCCACCCCAGGCCCAAAGCCTCAGGGCCCACCAGCCATGGCCAGAAATCTCTGCCACTGTGAGCTGAAACCTTTTGTCTTCATAAGCTATTTATCTCAGGTATTTTGTCGCAGTGACAACCAATTGGCACATCTCTCCATCCCACTGAACTAGGATTTCCATAGTAAAGTTGTCCCTGGGTATCCTCGGGGGCTTAGGTCCAGGACCCCCATAGAGACCTAAAACGTCACGTGTTCAGTTCCCTTCTGTACCATGGCTAAGTATGTGCCCAGAACCTAAGCACATCCTCCTGCATCCTTTAATGACTTGTGACACCTCAAGACAAGGTAGATGCTGTTAAATTGTGATACCAGCCGGGCACGGTGGTGTACACCTGTTATTGTGGAGGCTGAGGCAGGAGGATGGCAAGTTGGAGGCCAGCCTCAGCCACTTAGCGAGGTCCTGCCCCTGTCTCTAAATAAAATAGAAAAAAGGGCTGGGGACGGGGCTCAGTGGCTGAGTGCCCCTGGGTTCCATCCCTGGGACCAAAAACAGTGTTCCTCTTCCCTGTTTGGTTAACTTTTGGGTGGGCGCCATAACGTGGCCTTCCTTAGCTTCTGTGGCACCAGGGACACTGTCCCCTCAGGGATCTTTCCTCGGCGTTAATTTCTGGTGCTTCCTGCTTTGCGGGGAGATCCGTTGAACGTGGGACGATGACATCTAGACCCCTTGTCCCCGTGTCACCTTGTCCCCCTGTTCTGCCGGCTTTCAGATCGCCACGAGGTCATCTCCAAAGAGATCCTGGAGCTGGACCCTTGGGAGAACCAGTGGAACGTGGTGGCCGTCAACGTCCTCATGCACGACAGCTACGACGTGTGCCTAGTGGCCAGGATGAACCCCCGGGACCTCATCCCGCCCCCCTCGGACCTGGTGGACGAAGACGGTGGGCACCGAGGCCCGTGAGGGTGCCGGGCCTCCGCCGGGCCTCCACTGGGCCTCCGCTGGGCCTCCGCAGATCACTCCGCCCTCCGGCAGGTGGCAGCCGAGGGCGGCATGTTGTCGTGTGTTGCGCGCATAGTGACCTCTGTGCAGAGCAGCGTGTGCTGGGCGCCGGGAGCCGGGTAGAGAGACGGCGGGGAGGAGGAGGAGGAGGAATGGTCCCATGGTGACGTCACGGGAAAGGCCGTGCAAAGGCCCTGAGGCAGGGAAGTCCACCAACCCCAGCCAGGAACAGCCTTGGCAAGAACGACTGCCCGCCAGCCGCCCCCGGGCCCCAGTGTGGGGACGTGGAATCGCCCCTTCCGCCCACAGTGGAGCCCAGCGAGTCACCCTTCGAGTGTATTTTAGGGGTGACATTTTAAATGACGCGGGAAGGCCATCCGTGTTGCTGCCGTCCGTGTTTCCAGAAGCCGGGCAGATGCGTCCGGGTAGCTCTTCCTCTGTGGCTCCTTCCGGCGCTGCCCAGGGCTCCTGGGTCAGTGGGTGACTTCCCTGGGCTGTCTCCTGCGCGGGCTGTGACAGTCGGGACCGTCCTCCTGGGTCCCCGCAGCTGCTGGCCCTGGCAGGAGAGGCAGCCCCTAAAGGAGCCTGTTGGGAATCTGTTTCTGCCCCCGGAAAAGGGGGACCCAGGAGGCTCAGTGTGGCCTGTCCCCAAGGAAGACCCTAGGACGCAGGGGCCAGGTCTGTCTCTTCAGGGTTGTCCCCAGCGTGTTGTCCTACCTGTCACCTGGGTGGATCTCTGGGTAGCCAGAAAGGGACAGCACTTGTAAGACACAGGGCTTGGTCTCTGAGTGGGTCTGTGACTCGAAATGAGCTCATTCTAGCCAGGCCGGTGGCCCACGCCTGTCAGCCCAGCAGCTGGGGAGGCTGAGGCAGGAGGACCGCAAGGTGGAGGCCAGCCTCAACAACTCGTGAAGCCTTGAGCAACTCAGCGAGACCCTGTCTCTAAATAAAATATAAACAGGGGCTGGACGGGCTCCGGGGTGAAGTGTCCCTGGGTTCAATCCCTGGCGCCAAAAGAAACGTCCCTTCTGCTCCCGACTGGAGGGTCACACGCTGCCACTTCCTCTTCTACTGTGAGGCCGCCGGCTCCTTTGGTCAGTCTGGGCTGAGGATCAGCTTCCGAGTGCCCCCACGCCCCCAGGTTCCCTGTCTGGGAACCCCTGCTCTTATCCCCCCAGAACATTCTGGAAGCCTCCCCCTTGTCCTGGGTCCGGGAGGCCATGCTGGGGGATCCTTGGTGCAACTACTCTGCTCAGCACCTGCAGTGGACAGGGCTCCCTGGGTGTCCCCCTCCCCCCTGGAGGATGGAGGGGAAAGACCTAAGCTGTGCCCAAGAGCTGGCCTGGAGCAGGAGGCGGAGGCCGCACCAGGGCTCCCAGAAGCGCCAGAGCAGCAAACAGCGTGTCGCTGTGTCGCCGACGTCGTCGTCATTATTATTATTTATTTATTTATTTATTTTTGAACCCAGGGGTGCTTAACCCCTGAGCCCCGTCCCCAGCCCCTTTTTATATTTTATTTAGAGACAGGGTCTCCCTGAGTTGCTCAGAGCCTCAGCTAAGTAGCTGAGGCTGGCCTCCAACTTGTGATCCTCCTGCCTCGGCCTCCTGAGCTGCTGGGGTGACAGGTGTGCGCCCCCACACCCAGTGCGTTATTATTTTAATGAGCATTTCCCCAAAGTTACACAGCAGGACCCCGTGGGCCAGGGAATCTCTTAGGATTCCAGAAAGGGACCCGCATTAGAGATGGTCCTTGACTCCCCAGGGCCCGGTGCTTGGCCCCCGGGGCCGGTGAGCAGGGTCCTCCCGTGGGAGAAGGCAGGGTGATGGTCAGTGGGCACTTCTGGGGGTGGCACAGGTGAGACGGTCCCCACCCGCGAGAGGTGGTGCGGTGCTGTCTCCAGCAAGGCCTCATCTGGGCAGCATCACGATGGAACTTTCCAGAAAATGCTGAGGGAAGACAGAGCGGGGTCAGTGCCCCCCGCCTGGAGCTCAAAGGGCAGCTGCCCGAACTGGCCAGAGGCAGAATCTCCTGGCCTTGTCCCACGGAAGCCCTGACAAGACCCCGGCCTCCTGGCTCCCCTCATCCCTGCTTGCTTGGCGCTTCCCTGAAGCCTGTCCTGCTTCTAGTCTGACTTCCATCCTAACATTAAAAAGCAACCCGCGCCCTTGCACCTGGCATTGTCAGGGCTCAGCCTGGGCCCTCCTGTGGTCCCGACCCTGCAGGGCTCTTCTGAGACTCCTGGTCTTTGCTGGGCCTTGTCCTGGGACACACAGTGGGGACGTCATCTGAATGCTGGGGTGAACCCAAGCCCTGCAACTGCCACCAGGTCTGGGCCCACCCACCGTGGTCAGGTGGCTTCAATGAAGGCAAATGCTTCAACTGCAAACATGCACAATAAATCTGCTGGTGACAGACGGACGCGGGACTTTGGGCTTCACTGGGGTCCGAGTTTCATTTGAAGAAGGACCGAGGGGGGTGGGGGCAGCAGACTCTGCAGAAGTCTGAACCCAGACTTGGAGCCTAGGCACTATGATCGGTAGGTGGGAGGGTGTGGCTCTCCTCCTGTAAATTAAAATTAAGTTCCACCTTAAAGGACACACCCCAATAACCTAACCTCCTCGCCCGGGTCCCGCCCCTAATAACCTAACCTCCTCGCCCCAGGTCCCGCCCCAATAACCTAACCTCCTCCCCAATAACCTAACCTAACCTCGCCCTGGGTCCCGCCCCCTGAGGGTTCACTACCTCCCAGTGGCACCACAGGGCAGTGACAGAATCTTCAACACACAGGCCTCTGGGGACACTTAAGCTCCAAATCATGACACCACCATAAAGTCAAACCCAGAGTCAGATGATCCTGCTGCGTAAGAGCATGGTCCAGTTACCCTCAGCAGGGGGTGTTGCAGGGACAGATGGGGCCAGGCACCCAAGGCAGCAGGGGACAGTTTCCCTTGGCTGCAGCCAGGCTCAGCGGGCACAGCTTCTGCTGCCATCCCTGGGTCCCCTGAGCCCCGAGTTCAGGGAGTTTCAGGACATCACACCCAGCACGTGGGGGGGCTCCAAGGTCACATAAAGAGGTTTCCTCTCCCTGTCACGGGCAGGTTGACCCCTCAAGGCCAGCACCTGAGGACGGGGCGCCACTTCGCCCCTCTTTCCTCCCCTGCTGCTGTCACCAGGAGCCCACGTGGTCACTTCTGTCATCTTAGGAACAGAGACGTCTCTGTGAGGCCCAGCTCGGGGCCAGAGGCCAGTTGGCACATCTCTACAAACTACTGCACTGGACACATGTTCGTGAGAAGCCAGTCAGGGGTGTCCAGCACCTGGGGTGCCATTTCTTCCCGGCCAGTGGCCAATAAGACAGGGTGACACGACAACAGGGAGTTTCCCCACCCTGCACTCTCGCTGACAGTCCTCAGATGAGCCCTGGTGAAGATTCCAGAAGGTCAGCTCAGACTTTCTGTGGAGAAGGAGGCCACTCCGGGGGGACCAACTGTGCAAGAAAATGGCCCAGAAAGTGGAGCTAAAAATCCATGAAAGCAGCTGCTTACTGTGGCCCGCGCCTGTCATCCCCGTTACTCGGGAGGCTGAGGCAGGAGGATCGCAAAGTGGAGGCCAGCCTCAGCCATGGTGAGGCCCTAAGCAGCTCAGGGAGACCCTGTCTCTAAAGAAAATACAGAATAGGGCTGGGGACGGGGCTCAGGGGCTGACTGCCTGTGAGTTCAATCCAAAAAAAAAAAAGATGGTTTAAGATAGATCATAAGAAAGGGGTGGTCAGAGGTCTGGAAGTTTCTTAGCATAATGGACTCCCCGGGCAGATGGGCCCAGGCCGACCAGGGCTCCCTGAGCTAACAAGGAGCCGCCCTGCGGTCAGAGGTCAGCTGCGACAGGCCTGGGAGAGGCCCCGGGCTCTGATCACAGCGGCTCCTGCTGCTTGTTCACAGACCCCCTGTGGCCGGGGAGGCCAAAGGTCCAAGAAGAAGGAGGACTGTCACTAATTGGCCACCAAGTGACTTCTGATCATTTGCTGTGTGACAAGCCATCAGAGTCGGATGGAACTCCGTGTGGCAGGGGGGCCTCGGGCTGCTGCTCTCCTGGGCCTACTCCTGACATGACCAGGTCAGGTCCCTGTCACCCCTGGTCAGGGGTGGGGACAGGAAACCTCCATCCGTCTGGGCCTCAGGAATGGCTTTTCCCAGAAAGCCTCGCTCTCTGCCTAGATTTTTTTTTTTTGTGTGTGTGTCCCAGGGATTGAACCCAGGGGCACTTCACCCCTGAGCCCTGTCCCCAGCCCTTTTTATATTTTATTTAGAGACAGAGTCTCACTGAGTGGCTGAGGCTGGCCTCCAACTTGTGATCCTCCTGCCTCAGCCTCCAGAGCCTCTGGGATGACAGGCGTGGCCGCCGCACCTGGCTAGCAAGCTTTGCGTGAACTCTGCCTAGAGCCGTCTCTGTTTCCCGTAAGCTGGCCCCTGTAGGTCACACCCACTTCCAGAACTTTCTTTGGCCTCTATGCAGGAATGAGGGGTAGATCCTCAGGGAGCCAGACCTGGCCCCAGAGCTCCAGGGCTGTTCCCAAATGGAAGCTTCCAGGGTCTGGAACTGTCCTGCCCCTTCTCAGACACCCATAGCCCCAAGCCGGGCAGTGGAGGCCATCCAGGGGCACCCAGGAAGTGGGGCGCAGCTGTTACGCTGGCTGCCCAGGTCTTCCTGTACCTCTGACCCTGGAGCCTGTGCCCTGCTCTTACTCTGGGAGCCATGTCTCTTCCATAAATGAGCAACAGTGATATTCTATCTGTACTAGGCAGCGTGTCGTGACTGTGACAAAATACCCGAGATAAACAACTTATAAAGAAGAAAACAATTTTTTGCTCCTAGTTTCAGATATTGAAGTCCTTGTTTGGTTGGCTCCATGCTCTGGGAGTCTGTGTGTTTTGGGGTTCCCCATCAGGTCAGGGAGCAAACCTGCCGACCTCCTGGCTCCCAGGAAGCCAAGAGAGGCAGAAAGAGACCCAATCCAATGTCCCTTTCAAAGCCAGGCCTCCAATGACCTCACTTCTTCTAGGATCCGCCTCCTAACATTTCCGCCACCCTGTGGGCTGGCATCCAAGCCATGAACTTTGGGGTGGAGGGGGGACATTTAAGATCCAAACCGTAGCCAGGTGCCATGGTGCATATCTAGGATCCCAGCGACTCGGGAGGCTGAGGCAGGAGGATTGGAAGTTGGAGGCCAGCCTCAGCCACTTAGTGAGGCCCTGAGCCACTCAGCGAGACCCTGTCTCTCAATAAAATATAAAAAAGGGCTGGGGACGGGGCTCAGGGGTTAAGAGTCCCCGAGTTCAAACCCCAGGACCAAAAAGGAATGGTGGCTTCCTGGAGAGGGACAGGGGAGGAGCAGGACCTCACCCAGGGCCAGCTTCTTCCCAATGTTCCTGTGACTTCCATGATTCCAAATCAGACCTGAGAGAACTCTGCTCTGCCTCGGTGACGCACACATATTTATCACACTCTTCTCTAGACTTTCTTGTATGTTGAAAATATATTTTATATGTCATCATGAAATGCGCTGTTACGTAAAAATAAGGCACCGATTTTAATTTTTTAAATAAAATGATAAAGCTCACTTGTTCCCCCCACCACTCCAGGACCGGAAATTGAACCCAGGGATGCTTAACCACGGAGCCCTGTCCCCAGCCCTTTTTATTTTTGATTTAGAGACAGGGTCTCCCTGAGTTGCTGAGGGTCTTGCTAAATTGCTGAGGCTGGCCTCCACCCTGTCATCCTCCTGCCTCAGCCTCCCAAGTCTGTGATTACAAGTATGGTACTATTCTTTTCCCAGAAAATCTGCAGGCATTGACCTTAGCGCATCCTGGCGCATCATGCTGATTTTTGCAGTTGGTATTTTTACACTTACCATGAAGCTCTTCTGTGAGCCCAAATGACCTTTTTTTCTTTTAAGTTGATCTATGTAAAGTATTTTGTTACAGTGACCAAAAGGGAGGCTGAGGCAGGAGGATCGAAAGGTGGAGGCCAGCCTCAGCAACAGCGAGGCCCTAAGCAACTCAGTGAGACCCTGTCTCTAAATAAAATATTAAAAAAGGGCTGGGGTCTTGCCCACCATTCTTTAAAAATGCAGTTCGTGCACCAGAGCCTATAGTTTGATAAGCCTTAGTTTATAGCAGTCACCTGGGGACACATTCCTAGCCCCTCCCCTGGCCAAAACCTCTGGGCCACAACTGCACAACTGAGGGTTGGGACAGCGAGCTACTTCTCTAACAGCGACACCCTGACTTATGGCAGAGTGTGGGCTGGGGTCCTGCCTCTCATCCTCCTGGCTCACCTTTCCTAGAGCGGAATCTGCCCTGGGGACAAGCGAGGACCTTGGGTACAGAAGCCGAATGTCAGGGTACTGTGTCCAGGCAGAGCTTCTGGGCTGCGAATGGAATCCAAGCGGAGGGAGGGAGCCCTGGGCTCAGAACACCAACTAAATGTGAACTTGAGA